TATATATATATATATATATATATATATATATATATAGTCATTTTTTGACCATTGTTCTTGTCGTCGAAGCATGTGATGATGTGCATCTTTTACAAAATCAACAGATACTCCACCTTGTAATAAATTATAAGTATGCCACTTAACTTACTCAATTAGACAATTTTTTTTCAAACAAAGTGGGTTGACAGGCGGTGGGGCTTGCCAAGCTTGTTCTTGGGCCGAAGGGTTAATGGATTGGATTTTGGGTTAGGTACTAGGTTTGGGGCGCATGCTCAAACCCTCCCTTTAAGTTTATTAAACTCGAATTTAGGCAGATTAATTATCGAGTTACATGTTTATTTTTTTGAATCGAGTAATACATCCGGTGGGTTAACATGACCTATGTACACCTTTATTCGTCGTGCTCCATTAATGTCAAGTGATTAGACAGTTGGGGTTGAATATTTGAGATGGACTGTGCATTTATAACTTGAAGTCCCCACCGAGGCATTAAGTGCTTTACTATAGAGTGCTTGTAACCTACTTCCGAACATGAACATGTAAAAGTAGACGCCGAAATTTCTGCCAGACATGCAAGGGTCGTGCATTTTCTTTTTTGAGAGTTAGACCTGAATCTTTTGTGAACGAGACAACTAATGAAGATTTATCACATCAATACACTGCACAAAATTCATATTTCCATGACAATTAATACCCCGCACACATACTCGATTTTTAACATGCCGTGCACTCTCGGTCTAAGGTGCCTTTTCCTCTGTCCCGGCCGGCCGTAAAAAATCCAACCAATATACTGTGATGGCCCTAGGTTGCCATGTGTCGATTCCTAACTGACAGATCGCCAACATCCCATCAGTATTATATCTGGAGGACATCAATCAAACTCACAATAATAATGAGTGGCATACTAAAAACACAATCTCGAACAATAAATCATTGTTCTTAAAATAATAAAATCATCCAACATCTTTCCACAATATTTATCTTGTTCTAATACATCAATAGCTATGAACAATTTCGATAATTATTGACAAACTTAGCATTCAGCTTACACCAAGTTACCAACGAAATTCAAGGTGGTAACCATCAAATATTTCTTAGTTACTAAGTATATAATATTATCTATATTACTACATTTTAATCTCACTAGAACCCTTTTTACAATTTTTGCCTTAGACCTCTGTCTCAGTCTCAGTCTCAGCAGCGTCAGGAACTTTGCAAAGATTTAGCATCAATCTCCTTCAACCACAATCCTGGAAAAGCATGCTGCAAAAATCAATAGAACACTTAATTCGCAAGTTAAAATAAAATAAAAATCAAAATCAAAATCAAAATCAAACAATACATCGTCATATATATAAAAGAACCGAAAGTTTCGAAACGTTTTTAACATTTACTCACATCTACTTTTGTTTGCACAGAGTTGGGTCTTCTCTTTGGTCTCTGAGACGGCTTGTGTCCCATCATCATCATCATCAAATCCTCCTCAATCTCTCTCCGCGAAAGAGATAACGAGAACTGCGCCTTTTCTCTATTCTCTGCAGGACTGACTTCGCCATCGTTCGGAGACGTACGCGCTGCTCTTCTCTTCCTCAAGTTCCAAGGCCTTACTGTATCGGCCTCCGCTGCGACCACAGCAACTGGCGGCTCTACCACGAATTTCACCTTCTTAATTGCATCTTTCATCTTATCCGCTTCATTCCTTAAATCCGACATCAGTTTCCCTCGCACCGCCTCTAACCCGTCCTGTCCACTACCATATTTCCGACCAACATCCTTCGGCGCCGGCGAAAGATCAAAACTATACGTCCGTATTTTCGGTTCCGACGATCTCAGACGTCCGATCAAACCATTCTCAACCAGCGAAACTGACGAATGACGTTCGATGGTGGTGATTTCGCCATTTAAATCGACCTTCGCGCACCTCATACACTTCCGTCTCCCCCAAGTCACACTAGGCGACATCGTGAAACTGGGCAAAAACTTCGATCTTTTTACTCCCATCGCCGTCAATCCTCTCTTATTCTCTTCTCTTCCACCGAAAACCACCATTTAAATGCTCGTACACACACAAACACACAATCGAAATCTCAAAGCTCTCTTTCCTGTCTCTCTATCTCTCTTGTCCCAAACCCTAGCAAGACAGAGAGGGGACAAGAGAGAGAGTCCCGCTTATAAACGCTAAAGCACGAGCTGGGGTGGTGGGTTTGTTCTAGCGGTTAATCATAAAACGGGGATCCTTCCGCCTATCCGGAGTCGTACTATAATTTAATCCGAGATTAAGACAGACTTGCTTTAATTCCTTGTAGAGTAAGGATCGGAAATAGTATCTTAGTTTGATAACAACATCTTTGGAATTCCAAATTGTATCTGACATTAGTAAAGATGATTAGATTAGTGGTTTCGTTAATTTTTTTTTAACGGGATTCTCTTATTTAAGAGTTTTTATTTATTTGGGATACTATCTAAATTTGAGATATAAAGTATTTTTCGTAAATATCCAATAATAAAAAAGGAAGTTACAATGAATTAACAAAAATTAGCTGTAATTTAACTTTAAGATAAACTAAAGTCATTATTACTAGTAACTAGACTTTAATAACACATTCTTTTTTATAAAAAAAAGTTTCATTAAGCAATGTCATATAATTTATTGCCGTCAAACAAAATTGCATAAAATATTGATTAAATTTGAAAAAAGATAATAAAATTTTAAAATAAAAGATACAAAATACAAAATAAATGTTAGTTTCACAAAAAAAAACACTTAAAAAACCCGATATCTAACCACAGAAAAAGATTGAATACATTTTTTTATTGCAAGAAGTTGAGTAAATATTGACCTATTGAATTTTTTTTCCTCTAAATAAGTTAAATGTGCTTAGATTATCAAAATCAAATTACTCATATTTAACCTAATTAAAAGAAAAATAAAATTATTTATGCTTAATACTAAATTATCCGTTTATTATTTGTGGTAGTATAAAAGGCAAAGATTTCCTACATCTTGTTATAAGATTCACCAAAAAAAAAAAAAAAAAAGGTCGGGAAGTCTTATTGTACGATAATCTTTGCTTCGGCGTGTGGCTTAGCGGCTCCCATCTATTGCACGTATGAAAGCTGATAAAGCGAGTTAGGGTTTGTTTGGATGAATTTTTAGGGAGGACTTGAATTAATTTTTTTAAACTCCGTTAAATTCAAATTTTTTTTTACAAATATGAGAATCAACATTGAATTCGATTCATACCTATGTTTGATATGCAATAAATATATATGTATGACTCATAGATATATCATAATTATTAATAATTATTTATCTTATAAATGATCTCGTTGATCAATCTAATTAATACTCATATTAAAAGGTATAATTATTTTTTGCATGTTTAACCCATCTTTTTAAACTCATCTAGATTTAACGAAATTCATGATCATGAGTTTAATATTTGAGTCAATTGCGGGCCAGGTTTAGGAACTCGGAATTAAATTTTCAAAACAAATATGAAGTTTGGAGGTCATTTAGACTATTTTCCCCTACTTGTCTCGATTGAGAATATAATTTACCTTTAACATAAATTGGCTTCCTTAATCATCATGTGCTGCATTAGCTAGATGTAGATTTTGGGATCAAACTGTAGACATTTTTGCTGCTTCTCTTACTTTTTCAAGCATTAAATCTTATTTCCAAACGAGTTAAAAACACTTTGGAAACCATATTGTAATCTCTCAAAATGCTAAGTGCTTTGGATAAGTTGCTCATGCAATTAATGTTGCAGACTCTATGTACTGGCTTACATAAATATCCCATGCTTGGAGGTTAATGTGCTTTTGTTATTGTCTTTATGAATTTAGAATAAAGGATTTAAAATTAACTTGTTGGTTTCATTAGTGCATTTTTTTTTCAATTCGTTAACCATAGATTGTAGTCATAGTTGGATCAAATGGAATTATGCAGGTATCTAACACACTTGGGCTATGAAGTTGTTTATTTGCAGAATTTCACTGACGTTGATGACAAGGTGAGAAGTACAATGCAACATCTTAGGTCTTAGTTTATGCTTGATTGATTACATTTCAAGGTTTTGAAGGTTGATGGGTTTTCGTTTTCGAATTTGAATCTATTCAACATTCTTGATTGTTCTCTCTCCTAAATTATTTTTCGAGAAAAATGTATTGTACTTGGTTCTAAATGGTGCTTCTAATTACAATGAAAAGTACCAAGTTCAACTCTACCCAACAAAACCTTGTATTAACAGTGTTGGCATCAGTTATAGGAATCATGTTTTGTCATTATGCTCTATTAAGGATCATACTTTCTCCTAAACCATATTTATCCTAACTTTTTTTACTATTTCAATAATTACAAAAGAAAATAATTATTTCAATGCAACAGTACTCAAAATATTAGAGGTGTCAAACTCAAAATATTAGGGGTGTGTCAAACGTTTTGGGTTGGGTAATTTCGTGTCGGATTGATTTTGTATTTGTGTCAAAAACCCTAAAAAATGAACCTGACCTTTTTAATAATTGTGTTGAGATGTGTAAACACTAACTTAATCGGATTATGAAACGGGTTACTCGAACCCGACTTGTTTGACTTGTTTAATAAATAGGTTATTTTTGGGTTAACATACATACATTGACTTGTTTATCTTGTCTAACACATACAACTTGTTTCACATTTGTTCACTACAATTAAATACACTATTCAATCATTCATCTAAAATTTTAAATAATTTTTGCACCAATAACAAATTGTATCTCATCAATGAAATTAATTAAAGTGCATTCAAGATTGAACCCAAAAATTAAAACAAGAATTATATTAGTATATTGTCATAATAACGTTAACAACTATATTGCGAATTGTCACAGCTAAAGCAAGAACTAATAAGTGGAAATGAAAGTTAGATTAGAGTTATATTTATTTTTGCTTTTATATACTTGGATAAACGGGTTAAAAGGGTCTACAATGAGTTAGGTTGAGTTCGTGTCTGAATTATGTCAACCCGTTTAAAATATAAGGGTTAATCGAGTCAAAATTAGATTGACCTGATTTTGATATGAACTCGACGTGATATTTTTCGTGTTTAAATATGTTGACCCATGTTCAGTTCGTGTCAAAAATTAACAGCCCTACAAAATATGACGCCAACATACTGAAAATATGACTATACTAATAAGCAAGGAGTTGTATTTCCATCTGATTGTTAAATCATAAATGTCATGAGGAAAATTGTGCCTTCAATTAGAAATACCGTAATTGAAGCTTAGAGATGTGAGGTAACTATATGCTAGATATATGACTCGTGTAATGCTCTGTAGCTGTTGATCACAGGGTGTGGTTGAGCTTTTGGTATTATTTGTACGTACTTCTAATTGTCCATCAACTCGTGCTGTTGTTTACAACTGGTGAATTTAGGCTATGGTCTGTCGACGACCACACTTCAACTTTTCTATTCCCTATAAAACTCAGCTCCTGGCTGTGATTCTTTCCTGTAGTATTGCCAAGGAGAATAACTGGCTTAAGGGCAAGGCTCCTCTCCTCTCAACCTTCTCTCGAAACGCTTTCTACCCAATCACACTGCAAACTTAATGAGCAAATGTTCGAGATATTTTAGGGAGGGTGTGCATGAGGAGGACTTCGCTGGAAGAAAGTTAAAGTTCCTTTACTCTTTTTTGTCTCTAACTACTTTCTGGAAAGGTGATATCTAGAAATTTCAGGCAGAAATATCTGGCTACAGCAGCAAGTGTTTCAAACTTCAGTAAATTTTATAAATTCTCACAAATTAATCCTACATTTACAGTGATAAATTTTAGAGATTAAAACCTTGGACAACGGAAATTCATAATGTGTTTCTATTTTTTCCATAAATGGTCGCAAGCAACTTTGAGTTTTGATGTCAATGGACTCCGTGGAAAGTGAGAATAGACACATTTTGTAATGTCCTGTTACTGAGTACGATTCAATTCTACTTGGCAATAAAAATTGAAAAATGCCAATTTATTGCATGCCTGGAGTAAAGTATGCATTCATTTCTTTGGACCAAAGTGTTGCATTTATTTTATTATATTACATACACTTTCGTCAACATAGAATATAAAAGATCTTGGAAAACAGAGAGAACCGGTTCTGGGCTCTTACAACTTCAATTTCTCTCTCATCAGTTGGTTGTTTTTGTGATTTTCATAGTGGCTATAAGAGCTGAGGTCGTCGGAGTGAATTTGGGGTTCTTTTGATGCTAGAGATTATAGTTGGAGGCTCAGTTCTCAATGGACGGAAGCGTAGAAAGTCGAAGAGCAGGAAGATGGTGGCCTTCATTGTGATCGTGGAGCAAACCTTGCGGGTCTATTTCAAGTTAGAGGAAGTAGAGAGCGTGTGTGTGTGACAGAGAGAGAGAGAGAGAGAGAGGGAGGGAGGGAGAAGGACGATGATGTGGTTGGTGGCTATAAAGGTAATGAGTTCCGTGGTTGTCCGGTGAGAGTAAAAGTGTTCAAGTAATGTTACTTCTCTGCAGCTTATTATTATATGGACCATTACCTTGATAAGACTGGAAGTGACACATCTCAAAAGTAATTGTCACAAATTGTTCATTTTCTTTGAATATTAAATATCTTTGGGGAATAACTTTCTTTTTGTTTTCCCAAAAGGTATGAATAACAACTTGAACAATATGAAGAGTATAATCTTTCTGAACTTTTTTCTTTTCCCTTGTTTCCTTTTTTATTTTATTTACACCCCCATATTTTCAAGTTCTCTTAAGGCCACTCTGATACATCTTGTTTGTTTGTCTCCTAAAAAAGGCCGCGGTTAGTTGGATACTTGCAGGCGTGCAGCTTTGTAAATTTGATGCTACTTGGCGAAAGAAATTAATGCTTATGTGCCTGTATGTTTCTTGTCTATATGATACACTGAAACTAATTCTGTGTGAGACAAATATGCAAAATATGGATTACTCTTCAGTCACAGCATGTGTGGCTTATGCAAAATGTAGATTACTCTTCAGTAGCAGCATATGTGGCTTCTTGCATGGGACTTTTGTTTCCTCCTTTTTTTTGAAGATGTGATTATTCTTGTGTTTATCAATTTTTGATGTTGTTTGCAGATAATTGAAAATGGTTGCGCTTATACAGTTGACGGGGATGTATACTTCTCTACTGATAATTTCCAATTGTATGGTCCCTTATGTGGAAGGAAGCTAGAAGATAACAGAGCTGGTGAACGTGTAGCTATTGATTCCAGAAAGAGAAATCCTGCTGACTTTGCACTGTGGAAGGTGCAAAATCTTCACAATTCACATTATGGTTATGGTTATGGTTATTCTTGTTGGGAAAATAGGCTTTCCCATAAGTGTAAATCAATGGAAGCAATATAAATAAAATAACAGAAAATAAGTAAGCACACAAGATTTACGTGGTTCCCTCAAATAACTTGAAGTACATCCACGACGACCGGTAGGTCAGTTTTTTCCACTATCACCAAATCAGATTACAAAGTGGCCAAAAGGCATAAGCCTTACAAACACACCAAGGTGTAAATCACAAGAGGAAAATACCTCACAAAATAAGTGAACCAAATCTCCAAGAACAAACCGCAAGAAACCCAAATATCAAGTGAAGAAATGTTACCCACTTGAAGAACAAATTTGCAGATTTTTCTGGCACCAAAAAGGAGAAGAAGAAGGCTGAATTTTTGTTGAACCAAAGACTGCCGAAAATATGTCTTCTTGCCAAACCAACAGAGAAAAGATGAACCAAAGAAAAGGACAAAACTTATAGTCTTTGGTGGCTGCCAAATTCCTTTTAACTTGAAGACTCCAAACCAAGCCTTGGATAAGAGTCATACACGGGTAAGCCACCAAAAAATTAGCAAATTGATGAGTCCCACAAAGGAGGGAAACCCAACAATTCTCCCCCTCCCGACTTATGTGGAGGATTCGACCATCCCCGCCAACAGTCGACACTTCTCATGCTTGTCCTTAGTCAATGCCTTAGTTAACATATCCGAAGTGTTATCATCAGTGTGAATTTTTTCAAGTTGTAACAACTTATCATTCAAGACATCACGAATCCAATGATATCTAACATCAATATGTTTCGATCTCGAATGAAATGAAGAATTCTTGCTCAAGTGGATTGCACTCTGACTATCACAATGAAGGACATACCTTTCTTGTTTCAAACCCAACTCTTGTAAGAATTCCTTCAACCACAATAATTCTTTGCAAGCTTCAGTGATGGCGATGAACTCAGCTTCTGTGGTGGAGAGAGCAACACATTTCTGTAATCTTGATTGCCATGCCACTGCTCCCCCTGCAAAAGTAATCAAATAACCAGAAGTAGATTTTCGACTATCAACATCACCAGCCATATCAGAATCTGTGAACCCATCAAGAATAGGCTCGCCTTTACCAAAACACAAACTCATCTTTGAAGTGCCCTGAAGATACCTCATAATCCATTTCACTGCTGCCCAGTGTTCTTTCCCTGGATTAGACAAAAATCGACTGACAACCCCAACTGCGTGAGCAATATCCGGTCGAGTACAAACCATGGCGTACATCAAAGAACCAACTGCTGAAGCATAGGGAATTTTCTGCATCTCATTTCTCTTTTCATCACTTGTAGGACACTGACTTGAGCTTAGTTTGAAGTGGCCTGCAAGTGGACAATTAACAGGCTTTGCTTTGTCCATATTGAACCTCTCAAGAACCTTTTTAATATAATTCTCTTGAGATAACCAAATCAGCCCATGTGATCTGTCACGAACAATTCTCATCCCAAGAATTTGCTTTGCTGGACCCAAATCCTTCATGGCAAAGGACTTACTCAACTCTGACTTCAACTTGCTAATCTTACTCGTGTCTTGGCCCACAATAAGCATATCATCAACGTAAAGCAAGAGAATAATAAAATTACCATCTTTATATTTCTTCACAAACACACAATGGTCTGAAGTGGTTCTTGAATACCCATTCTCACTCATGAAAGCATCGAATTTTCTGTACCACTGCCTCGGTGCTTGCTTCAATCCATACAAGCTCTTCTTCAATTTGCAAACTAACTGATCATTACCCTTATCTTTGAAGCCCTCAGGTTGCTCCATATAAATTTCCTCTTCTAAGTCACCATGCAAAAATGCGGTCTTCACATCAAGCTGCTCAACTTCTAAATTCATACTCGCAGCTATACCAAGCACAGTTCGAATGGAGGACATCTTCACAACTGGTGAGAAGATCTCATCAAAATCAACTCCCTTTCTCTGATCAAAACCTTTCACGACAAGTCGTGCCTTGAATCTCGGTTGAGAACTGTTCCCATCATTCTTTCGTCTGAAGACCCATTTATTTTTCAAAATTTTCTTCCCTTTAGGCGGCTTCACCAAATCATAGGTGTGATTCTCATGCAAAGACTTCATTTCCTCTTTCATTGCCTTGAACCATTCAGTTTTGTTCTCATGCTTCAAGACTTCTTGATAAGTCCCTGGCTCCCCCTGATCTGATATCATCACATACTCATTTGAAGAATATTTTCTGGATGGCTGTTTTTCTCTAGTAGATCTCCTTAACGGTGTCTGTGGTAGTGGCTCTTGGGGTGGTTGCTCCCCCTCAATCTCTGGCTCAACATCATCTTCTGCTGCATCATCATGAGGTGTTTGCACTTCCTCGTCAATATCATGAACAGCAGAGGGATTGAGAGGATCTAAATCAACAAGATCATCAGTACTAGACTCAGCTGACTCAAGCTTGTCGATGTCTTCAATAGTCTGATCTTCCAAGAAAACAACATCTCGGCTTCTGACAACTTTCTTGTCAACTGTATCATACAACCTGTATCCAAATTCTTCATGCCCATAGCCAAGAAATATGCATTGCTTTGCTTTTGGATCAAGCTTGGACCTTTCATCTTTTGGAATATGAACAAAAGCTCTGCAGCCGAATACCCTCAAGTGATCATAGGAGACTTCCTTCCCTGTCCAAACTTTCTCTGGCACATCACCATTCAACGGAACTGAAGGAGACAAATTGATAAGATCAACTGCGGTCCTCATTGCCTCACCCCAAAAGGATCTTGGCAATTTAGAATGTGAGAGCAAACATCTGACTCTCTCAAGAATGGTGCGATTCATTCTCTCTGCAACCCCGTTCTGTTGAGGTGTCTTTTTAACTGTCTTTTCATGCCTGATACCATGATTTGTGCAATACTGATCAAATGGTCCAATATATTCACCACCATTATCCGAGCGAACACATTTCAACTGTCTACCTGTTTCTCTTTCAACCTTGGCCTGAAAAATCTTAAACACATCTAGAACTTGATCTTTAGTTTTCAGTGTATAAGCCCAAACTTTTCTAGAGTGATCATCAATAAAAGTGACAAAGTATAGAGCACCACCAAGTGTCCTAACTTTCAAAGGACCACATACATCAGAATGTACCAAATCTAAAACATGAGATTTTCTAGATGCAATGTTTCTACGGAATGATATTCTGTTTTGTTTACCATGGAAACAATGAACACAAGTTTTCAAAGGCGTACCTTTTATCCCCACTAGAAGCTCTTTCTTGGACAAAACTTGCAATCCTTTTTCACTCATATGTCCAAGCCTTCTATGCCATAAATCAGTGGATGAGTCATTCTCTAAGGTATTCACAACACCCTTGCAGATTTTTGCTTGCATAGTGTAAAGAGAACAAGTCTTCTTTCCTTTTGCTACCACTAGAGAACCTTTGGAGAGCTTCCATTTTCCATTACTGAAATTGTTGATGTAGCCTTCATCATCTAACTTTCCAGCAGAGATTAAATTGAGTCGAATATCTGGTACATGCCTCACATCTCTAAGCAGCAATTTGCATCCAATATTTGTTTCCAAGCAAATGTCACCCATGCCGACAATTTTTGACACATCTTCATTTCCCATACGGACATTCCCAAAATCACCTTGTGAGTAAGAAGTAAAGAAATCAGCCCGCGAAGTAACATGAAATGAAGCTCCAGAATCAATTACCCAATCCGTCTCTTGGCCAATCAAATTAACGCTAGCATCATCACGGATAATCATGAGTTCATCATCGGTAACTACAGCTGTATCAATTTGCTTTTTCTCTGAATTTTTCTCTTTGTTCTGCTCCTTGAACTTGAGTTTTCTACATTCCCGCTTCATGTGCCCTTTCTTGTGACAATAATAGCATTCAACATCCTTTTTTGACATCGAGCTTGAACGACCTCTAGATTTATCACGGTTGTGCGGAACCCTACTCTTACTCCTGCCTCTCCCCCGGTTTTCCATTACAAGTGCCTCGGAGTAAGAAGAACCTGATGATTTTCTTCTTGTTTCTTCATTCAACAAACTGCTGGTAACTTGACTCATTGTTACCACTCCATCAGGTGCGGAGTTACTAACTGTGACCACCAAAGTTTCCCAGCTTTCGGGAAGTGAACTAAGAAGTAACAAAGCTTGCAACTCATCATCAAAAGTAATTTTCATGGCGGCCAACTGATTCACAATGCTCTTAATCTCATTCAAATGCTCTGCAATAGAAGTACCCTCCTTATATTTAGAGTTCACAAGCTTTCGAAATAAAAAGGCTTTATTCACTGCCGTCTTTCTATCATACAAACTCTCCAATTTGGTCCAAAGACCATGTGCAGATTTTTCTGTAGAGACATGATGAAAGACACTATCATCAATCCATTGCCGAATAAAACCGACAGCTTTCCGGTCTAGCTTTTTCCACTCGTCATCTTTCATCCCTTCCGGTTTGCCACTATCACCCTCTATGGGTCCATTCAAATCTTTACAAAATAAAAGATCTTCCATTTTAGTTTTCCAAGTCACCCAATTTGTGCCATTGAAACTAACCATACGTCCAACGTTGCCGTCCATAATTCACACACAGAAATATAACGAATCGGAACCGAATTAACCAATTGCTCTGATACCAGATGTTGGGAAAATAGGCTTTCCCACAAGTGTAAATCAATGGAAGCAATATAAATAAAATAACAGAAAATAAATAAGCACACAAGATTTACGTGGTTCCCTCAAATAACTTGAGGTACATCCACGACGACCGGTAGGTCAGTTTCTTCCACTATCACCAAATCAGATTACAAAGTGGCCAAAAGGCATAAGCCTTACAAACACACCAAGGTGTAAATCACAAGAGGAAAATACCTCACAAAATAAGTGAACCAAATCTCCAAGAACAAACCGCAAGAAACCCAAATATCAAGTGAAGAAATGTTACCCACTTGAAGAACAAATTTGCAGATTTTTCTGGCACCAAAAAGGAGAAGAAGAAGGCTGAATTTTTGTTGAACCAAAGACTGCCGAAAATATGTCTTCTTGCCAAACCAACAGAGAAAAGATGAACCAAAGAAAAGGACAAAACTTATAGTCTTTGGTGGCTGCCAAATTCCTTTTTAACTAGAAGACTCCAAACCAAGTCTTGGATAAGAGTCCTACACGGGTAAGCCACCAAAAAATTAGCAAATTGATGAGTCCCACAAAGGAGGGAAACCCAACAATTCTCCCCCTCCCGACTTATGTGGAGGATTCGACCATTCCCGCCAAAAGTCGACACTTCTCATGCTTGTCCTTAGTCAATGCCTTAGTTAACATATCCGAAGTGTTATCATCAGTGTGAATTTTTTCAAGTTGTAACAACTTATCATTCAAGACATCACGAATCCAATGATATCTAACATCAATATGTTTCGATCTCGAATGAAATGAAGAATTCTTGCTCAAGTGGATTGCACTCTGACTATCACAATGAAGGACATACCTTTCTTGTTTCAAACCCAACTCTTGTAAGAATTCCTTCAACCACAATAATTCTTTGCAAGCTTCAGTGATGGCGATGAACTCAGCTTCTGTGGTGGAGAGAGCAACACATTTCTGTAATCTTGATTGCCATGCCACTGCTCCCCCTGCAAAAGTAATCAAATAACCAGAAGTAGATTTTCGACTATCAACATCACCAGCCATATCAGAATCTGTGAACCCATCAAGAATAGGCTCGCCTTTACCAAAACACAAACTCATCTTTGAAGTGCCCTGAAGATACCTCATAATCCATTTCACTGCTGCCCAGTGTTCTTTCCCTGGATTAGACAAAAATCGACTGACAACCCCAACTGCGTGAGCAATATCCGGTCGAGTACAAACCATGGCGTACATCAAAGAACCAACTGCTGAAGCATAGGGAATTTTCTGCATCTCATTTCTCTTTTCATCACTTGTAGGACACTGACTTGAGCTTAGTTTGAAGTGGCCTGCAAGTGGACAATTAACAGGCTTTGCTTTGTCCATATTGAACCTCTCAAGAACCTTTTTAATATAATTCTCTTGAGATAACCAAATCAGCCCATGTGATCTGTCACGAACAATTCTCATCCCAAGAATTTGCTTTGCTGGACCCAAATCCTTCATGGCAAAGGACTTACTCAACTCTGACTTCAACTTGCTAATCTTACTCGTGTCTTGGCCCACAATAAGCATATCATCAACGTAAAGCAAGAGAATAATAAAATTACCATCTTTATATTTCTTCACAAACACACAATGGTCTGAAGTGGTTCTTGAATACCCATTCTCACTCATGAAAGCATCGAATTTTCTGTACCACTGCCTCGGTGCTTGCTTCAATCCATACAAGCTCTTCTTCAATTTGCAAACTAACTGATCATTACCCTTATCTTTGAAGCCCTCAGGTTGCTCCATATAAATTTCCTCTTCTAAGTCACCATGCAAAAATGCGGTCTTCACATCAAGCTGCTCAACTTCTAAATTCATACTCGCAGCTATACCAAGCACAGTTCGAATGGAGGACATCTTCACAACTGGTGAGAAGATCTCATCAAAATCAACTCCCTTTCTCTGATCAAAACCTTTCACGACAAGTCGTGCCTTGAATCTCGGTTGAGAACTGTTCCCATCATTCTTTCGTCTGAAGACCCATTTATTTTTCAAAATTTTCTTCCCTTTAGGCGGCTTCACCAAATCATAGGTGTGATTCTCATGCAAAGACTTCATTTCCTCTTTCATTGCCTTGAACCATTCAGTTTTGTTCTCATGCTTCAAGACTTCTTGATAAGTCCCTGGCTCCCCCTGATCTGATATCATCACATACTCATTTGAAGAATATTTTCTGGATGGCTGTTTTTCTCTAGTAGATCTCCTTAACGGTGTCTGTGGTAGTGGCTCTTGGGGTGGTTGCTCCCCCTCAATCTCTGGCTCAACATCATCTTCTGCTGCATCATCATGAGGTGTTTGCACTTCCTCATCAATATCATGAACAGCAGAGGGATTGAGAGGATCTAAATCAACAAGATCATCAGTACTAGACTCAGCTGACTCAAGCTTGTCGATGTCTTCAATAGTCTGATCTTCCAAGAAAACAACATCTCGGCTTCTGACAACTTTCTTGTCAACTGTATCATACAACCTGTATCCAAATTCTTCATGCCCATAGCCAAGAAATATGCATTGCTTTGCTTTTGGATCAAGCTTGGACCTTTCATCTTTTGGAATATGAACAAAAGCTCTGCAGCCGAATACCCTCAAGTGATCATAGGAGACTTCCTTCCCTGTCCAAACTTTCTCTGGCACATCACCATTCAACGGAACTGAAGGAGACAAATTGATAAGATCAACTGCGGTCCTCATTGCCTCACCCCAAAAGGATCTTGGCAATTTAGAATGTGAGAGCAAACATCTGACTCTCTCAAGAATGGTGCGATTCATTCTCTCTGCAACCCCGTTCTGTTGAGGTGTCTTTTTAACTGTCTTTTCATGCCTGATACCATGATTTGTGCAATACTGATCAAATGGTCCAATATATTCACCACCATTATCCGAGCGAACACATTTCAACTGTCTACCTGTTTCTCTTTCAACCTTGGCCTGAAAAATCTTAAACACATCTAGAACTTGATCTTTAGTTTTCAGTGTATAAGCCCAAACTTTTCTAGAGTGATCATCAATAAAAGTGACAAAGTATAGAGCACCACCAAGTGTCCTAACTTTCAAAGGACCACATACATCAGAATGTACCAAATCTAAAACATGAGATTTTCTAGATGCAATGTTTCTACGGAATGATATTCTGTTTTGTTTACCATGGAAACAATGAACACAAGTTTTCAAAGGCGTACCTTTTATCCCCACTAGAAGCTCTTTCTTGGACAAAACTTGCAATCCTTTTTCACTCATATGTCCAAGCCTTCTATGCCATAAATCAGTGGATGAGTCATTCTCTAAGGTATTCACAACACCCTTGCAGATTTTTGCTTGCATAGTGTAAAGAGAACAAGTCTTCTTTCCTTTTGCTACCACTAGAGAACCTTTGGAGAGCTTCCATTTTCCATTACTGAAATTGTTGATGTAGCCTTCATCATCTAACTTTCCAGCAGAGATTAAATTGAGTCGAATATCTGGTACATGCCTCACATCTCTAAGCAGCAATTTGCATCCAATATTTGTTTCCAAGCAAATGTCACCCATGCCGACAATTTTTGACACATCTTCATTTCCCATACGGACATTCCCAAAATCACCTTGTGAGTAAGAAGTAAAGAAATCAGCCCGCGAAGTAACATGAAATGAAGCTCCAGAATCAATTACCCAATCCGTCTCTTGGCCAATCAAATTAACGCTAGCATCATCACGGATAATCATGAGTTCATCATCGGTAACTACAGCTGTATCAATTTGCTTTTTCTCTGAATTTTTCTCTTTGTTCTGCTCCTTGAACTTGAGTTTTCTACATTCCCGCTTCATGTGCCCTTTCTTGTGACAATAATAGCATTCAACATCCTTTTTTGACATCGAGCTTGAACGACCTCTAGATTTATCACGGTTGTGCGGAACCCTACTCTTACTCCTGCCTCTCCCCCGGTTTTCCATTACAAGTGCCTCGGAGTAAGAAGAACCTGATGATTTTCTTCTTGTTTCTTCATTCAACAAACTGCTGGTAACTTGACTCATTGTTACCACTCCATCAGGTGCGGAGTTACTAACTGTGACCACCAAAGTTTCCCAGCTTTCGGGAAGTGAACTAAGAAGTAACAAAGCTTGCAACTCATCATCAAAAGTAATTTTCATGGCGGCCAACTGATTCACAATGCTCTTAATCTCATTCAAATGCTCTGCAATAGAAGTACCCTCCTTATATTTAGAGTTCACAAGCTTTCGAAATAAAAAGGCTTTATTCACTGCCGTCTTTCTATCATACAAACTCTCCAATTTGGTCCAAAGACCATGTGCAGATTTTTCTGTAGAGACATGATGAAAGACACTATCATCAATCCATTGCCGAATAAAACCGACAGCTTTCCGGTCTAGCTTTTTCCACTCGTCATCTTTCATCCCTTCCGGTTTGCCACTATCACCCTCTATGGGTCCATTCAAATCTTTACAAAATAAAAGATCTTCCATTTTAGTTTTCCAAGTCACCCAATTTGTGCCATTGAAACTAACCATACGTCCAACGTTGCCGTCCATAATTCACACACAGAAATATAACGAATCGGAACCGAATTAACCAATTGCTCTGATACCAGATGTTGGGAAAATAGGCTTTCCCACAAGTGTAAATCAATGGAAGCAATATAAATAAAATAACAGAAAATAAATAAGCACACAAGATTTACGTGGTTCCCTCAAATAACTTGAGGTACATCCACGACGACCGGTAGGTCAGTTTCTTCCACTATCACCAAATCAGATTACAAAGTGGCCAAAAGGCATAAGCCTTACAAACACACCAAGGTGTAAATCACAAGAGGAAAATACCTCACAAAATAAGTGAACCAAATCTCCAAGAACAAACCGCAAGAAACCCAAATATCAAGTGAAGAAATGTTACCCATTTGAAGAACAAATTTGCAGATTTTTCTGGCACCAAAAAGGAGAAGAAGAAGGCTGAATTTTTGTTGAACCAAAGACTACCGAAAATATGTCTTATTGCCAAACCAACAGAGAAAAGATGAACCAAAGAAAAGGACAAAACTTATAGTCTTTGGTGGCTGCCAAATTCCTTTTAACTTGAAGACTCCAAACCAAGTCTTGGATAAGAGTCATACACGGGTAAGCCACCAAAAAATTAGCAAATTGATGAGTCCCACAAAGGAGGGAAACCCAACAATTCTACCCCTTGTCATACCATAAGTATCTTCTATTTTCCAGGCTGCAGAGCCTTGTGCGCGTCCCTGGGGTCCTGGAAGACCAGGGTGGCACATAGATTGCAGTGCGATGAGTGCCCATTATCTGACCTACACATTTGACATTCATGGTGGTGGGATGGATCTTATCTTACGGCATCACGAAAATGAAATTGCCCAGAGAGCAATATCAGTTATTGGATTCATAATGGGTTCGTTACAGCAAATGGTGAGAAAATGTCAAAATCACTTGGTAACTTCTTCACCATTGGTGAGGTAAAAAATGTGCAGATTTATTTTTATATATGTTTGAAATTTTTAGATCTTTTATTTGGTCGCAATTTAGCTAGAGCAGAAGCAAAGCTCATACTAACCCTTTTGTGTACCATCCACTTGCTTTGAGGTATTTTTTAATGGGCACACATTACAGATCACCTGTCAATTACTCAATTGAACAGATAGAAATTGCATGAGAGTCTGTTTTCTATGTATACCAGGTAAAAAGTGTGTCTAAGGTCCAAGGTTCTTCCATTGGATGTGTAATGATTCATCTGGTCATGAATGTGGCAAAACTTCTGCATGTGCGTGTGTATGCATGTTGATAGCACATTGCTCATGTGATTTATATGCTGGAAAGAGACATAACTCTCCATTCTTGGTCAGGCTGTACTACTCTGTAATCTAATATATTGACAACCATTTTGTCCTATGGCCAATCAGAACCATGGCACATCAGATGTTGCATTGTCTGTCATGCTAATGTTATGTTTGGTTTTAATATCCACATAGACACACTGGCAGTAATTGACACATCCTCTCAACAAAGAAAATCATTCAGAGTGTTTTCGTGATTGATAGACGCTACAAGATTGTAAAGATGCTTTATCATTATTTCGAGAAGGAACTGAATCAACATGCAAACCAGCCCATATTACTCCTGCTGCGCAAGAATGCATGAGTAAACTTCTTCATGATTTTGAGACAAAGATGTCGGATGATTTGCACACACCAACTGTAGTAAATGCTTCTCTTCAAGAAGCATCGAGACTCATGAATAGTTCTTTGAACATGCTTAAGGTAGGAATTTATATCCAAAAAATTCTCTCTCTCTCCCCTATATCACTGACAATATTTGTTTGGTCTGATAAATCCCCATAAGAAGCAACAACAGCTATCGGTTATTCAGTCTCTCACTGAGCTAGAAAAAAAAGTCAAGTGTTGGATGTCCTGGGACTGTTGTCCAGTTCAGCCTATTCTGAGGTGAAAGTTTCTTTAATGCTAGTAAATCTGTGATTGGGATTTTTTTTGTATGATGCATTTTATCAGAGTGGCATGATCCTGTACAGGTTCTGCAGCAGTTATAAGAAAAAGCATTAAAAAGAGCAGGGTTGACTGAGGATGATGTTCCACGTCTGATTGAGGAAAGAGCACTGGCAAGAAAAAACAAAGATTTTTCAAGGGGTGACCAAATTAGAAGTGAATTGGTTGTAAATGGCATTGCTTTAATGGATGTGGACAAGGAAACAGTTTGGAGGCCATGTGTGCCCGTTAAACAAGGACAGCCCACTACGCCAGTTCAACAAGACCAGCCCTGTGTGCCAGTTCAACTACAACCCGTCGTACCTGTTCAACAAGAACAGCCTTTTGTGCCAGTTCAACGAAGTCAGTAATGTGCGCCAGCTGATAAAGAACTCAAGGCACCTCCAGACTCGAATTGATGGTCCATGGCTTTGCTTTGGTCGATAGGCATACGATTTCAGAGCTCCCTCCATAACTCGTGAACTACCATATTCATGGAAGAGGTGGTGGATACCTAGGCACCCAGAGACGAGGAAGGGCATAGTAAGCGACAAAATGTTTTGGGGAGTTAAAAAAAAGCTTAAATCCAGAAATCCCTAAATAGGTCAACCTTTTAAATTGCTGTTGAATTTATGGGCAAACAAGAGATAATTTATGGGCAAACAAGAGATAACCTAGGGACCAATGGTTAATAATGGCTTTGATCGGTGGTTTCGCTAGAATAGGTAATAATGAGATTATTGTTTTAGTAAATGATGCGGAAAAGAACAGTAACACTGATCCACAAGAAGCTCAACGAACTCTTAAAATAACGAAACTAATTTGAGAAAAGTTGAAGGAAAATAATAAACAGTTGAGACAAATCTAGCTCTCCAACAAGCTAGGACATGAGTAGAGGCCATCAATGCAATTTCAAAATTAATTGGTGCGTCCAAATAAAATAATCAAAAGGAATTCTATTTATACACCTCATTTTGTTTGATTATGTCGAACGAATACAATCAAATATAAGCACAGATTTTGATGCAAAGAAAAAAAAATTCAAAAATAAAATAGAAAAGATATAAAGTCACTAAAAAAAGATGGGCAGAAAAACTTATTAGATATCGGGGGTATTTAATCAGTAATACTATACTGACTAAATTTTGGGACCAAATTAAGAGCTCAAATGACATGACAGTTAATTTAGACCTTATTTATTTGGTATCATGTCATTTGGGTCCAATAAAGACTTCAAATAATGTGTTGTTATGTCATTTGATTAACATAACATTACTGGTATCTAATAAGTTCTACCTACTATTGGATTTGAATACACGTAGTATAAGATGTTTTACATGTTGCAACCCTTCTAGGGTTGTGACCAAGGTGCCATTGGTTTTCGATTTTAAACCTTGTCCTTTATCATTTAATGGCCCTGGGCCTATGAAAACCAAGGAAGCAGGAAAAACTGCTTAGATACTCGGCATCATGTAGGGTCTGATTTAGTGAAATGAAGAATTTTTTTAGGTTTAACCATCCTTTTGCTATACTACTGTTACAAGACTCTTTAACATACCATTGAGGCCCAAGTTTTATGATATCCTTTTATTATTCTGTTGTGCTTTTATGATGTTCTCTGCTAATTTTTGTTGTGCATAGAATAGTAGATGATGGATTAAGCTTCACTCCAACATTGGATCCTTTCGATTCCTCCAATGCTGGATGATCTCCATGAATCACATAAGAGCGTTGGGGGAATCTAGTACCCGACAGAGGCTGAACTCCAAATGGTGCTAGCCTGGACAGGACCAAGTTTCCACCATAGAGTTTCAGGTATCCACATTAATCTTGAAGTTAGCCTGGACAGGACCAAGTTTTCACCATAGAGTTTCGGGTGTCCACATTAATCTTCAATTATAAAGTTGGTAGTTAATACAAGCCAATTGACAAAATGCAAAAAGAGGTGGCAGTGGGGCACGTTCTTTCCACTTACAGCAGGTTTGAAAGAGATTAGTGTAGAGTGTCTAATTTCTATTTTTGAGATGTTACTTTCTTGACTTGAACACGTAACAATGATAGCACGTCGATTGATTAGATATTCAATTGCAATCGTTTTGGTCCGACCTCTAAGCTAATTGACAGAAGCACTTACAATTTCATTTTCATGGTATTCCATCTATTCTGGTGGTTCCTGATAAATCAAAGTCATTATGGAATGTGATCGCCATCATCACAATGCGCAAGAATACTTAGTTGGGGACCATTAGGATGATTAGGGGGCACTCTTCGATCCAAATTCATTGATGTGTCTGCCCAGTGTGAACTAGGGTTTGATTATAATACCGAAAAATAAATATTGGTATTATACGACTTATTACTTTTTGAGTAAAATTTATCAACTTTTGGGATGTATTCTCTTTTTGAGTTAACTTGCCGTCTTTTGGGTTCAATTAACACATTTTAAAGTGAAGCTTATAACTTTTTTGCTTGAAATTTACTACCATTTGGGGTTTTTGTTTTTTCAATCTTCCGTGTGGTTCCGAAAAGTAAAAAAGGGTACCATAGTGTTATCCCAAAAAACAAGAACAAGAGCACTAAGATTGGATATCTACCGGGCTTTTTTGAATGTTGTATGGATTTCTATTTTCTGTTTTTTATATACTCCTTGGATTCAAGAGTCATTTGTGTACAATTTTTTTTAGTGTTAGATCACCAAGTATGAATCCAACCATAGGAAAGTTAAATTTTGCCTTTCTATGGTTTGAAAACTTACGATTCACCTCAACTTTAGGGGATATGATAAGACATGAATGAAATACCAAGTTCACCTGTCCATCTTTAAGATAGTTTTTTTGGTAACCAAAGATGTACAAACCGATAACTTTGGGGGATTAAATTTTAGTTAATTAGGCTAAGATTCCTCCTTTGATTTGTAAACTTATTTTAGTTCAACCAAAATTTTAATTTAGAAAAAGGTCCTAATTGTATTTAAAAAAATGGGACGCGATACCTATGCAAGCACAAACATGAAGAGGTTGGATAATTAGTGGATTTTTATTAACCATTTTGCCCTTATAACATGATTTTATCTTAAATATAGTTAGTTTTTTTTTTTTGGTTGGCGTTTGTTATTGAGGATTAATTGCGTCTCTAATATATTGATGATGAAGACAAAAAGAATGAAATTTTGAAGCAAGAGTGGCCTACAGAACACAACCAAAAGCTACTGTTACAAATACGATGTGAAGCAGTGAGACTGATGCCACCCCCTCGGGGCGCTTATCTCTCTTTCTCTCTCCGTGTGTGTCTGTTCATCCAAGAAAACAGTCTTTGAAACCTATGTTCATGTTGCATATACCAAGTTCATGAATGTTGGATACTGTCATTCTTTGAAGATTCTAGTTCTTACAAAGATTTTTAATTTTGCGGGTATTTATGTGCTATATTACATCTTAATTGAATTGGAGATTTTTTTTTTTGTAACCCAAGAAAATATGGTTTCCTCCCAATTAATATATTGATGTATATATATCATGGATGTATATTTCGTATAACGAACTTGATTGATTGTGTATGTTGTTTGTAGTATGTAATATGTTGTAACTGTTGCATGCATGTGAACCCTTGAATTTAAAGGTTTGATAATAGAACCACCTTTTAGGTTTTTTTGTTTTTCGCACTAGGTCATTTTAAATTGGATTTGACGGTTTGTGTTTAAGTGTACTTGTCTGATGATCTGTGTTTATAGAAAATAAGATACATTATGATGAAATAATTTTTTAGAATGTGTTTCAATTAGGTGATGATATTGTTGTTATTTTTGCAATGTTTAAAGAGCGTTTGTTATATCTATTATTTTGAATTTTCAATAGAGACTTAATCCAAAAGAAAATTAACGAGTGATTTTTTTTTTTTGAAATTTTATTGAGCCTAGGGACCGGCCTCTAAAAAACTCATTAAATTATAACAAAAAATTATTAGAATTTGATCTTAAAATATTGGGATTTAGTCCAACAACCTCATTTTGTTAAACTTTGATCCAAAGATGACGTCATTCAATACCAAAAAATTATAAATTTTGATATGATATGAAAAAAGTTTCTCAGTACCCTATGTTTATGGTAGTTTATGAATAATCATTTCCACCATTCGTTCCTTGATTTGGGATCTATGGAATAAATGTGGATGATGTCCAGCAGATTTTTATTTTCCCGGTAAGTATGTCTTGCAGATTGAATGAATACATTATCGCCATATAGGCCAATATTCACCCATGCTAGAATAGGCTGAAACTTATAAATGATTCTTTGGCGGCACAATGACAAAACATGATTCATGTAATTCATTCGAAATAATTGGGGGCAAAGGTATGTTTAGAGTCGAGTTTTATACATGCGATTATACCAGAGTTGTACACGATCTTTATGAGTTATGAAGACTAAATTATAGGGATATCAATCGTGTCATATCGTATCAGTTTCGTGTCGTGTCACTTTCGGTCGTGTTATTTTCGTGTCGTATCACTTTCGGTACGTGTCGGGTTCGTGTCAATATTCGTGTTAATAAAAAATTATTTAATTTGACAACAACTAATATAATACTATTTAAAAAATTAAAAAATTCTTATTTTTTTTATCTAAAATACTCATTAAATAATTATTTTATATTTACTGTATCCATTAATCGTGTTATTCGTGTCGAACCTTAATTTGACCCATTTTTTTCTCGTGTTAATAAATCGTGTTATTTTCAGGTTCGTGTCGGGCTCGGTTCGAATCGAGTTCGTGTTCGTGTTCGAGTGAAAAATTGACACACCTACTAAATTGGTTACACTTAAAACTAAAAAATATTCCAATATTTGTGTTGGAGCTGCTGAAACTGGAGCTTTCACCTTGAAACCTTAAGGCATCATGTGGTCATAATGTGAATGATATGATGTACCATGCATGCACCTCCTGATCAATCGCCATAATTGAAGGATGATGCTACAATTGGCATCATCCTTGGCCCTTGTAAAGTGCTTATGTCTTTATCAATGGGTGGGGCTTACAGTTCAAGATGGGGGAGGTGAAGATGAGCATAAATATCTTGCACATGGCTACAGACGTGGAATTCCTGGTTCCTTAAAAAAAAAATATATATATATATATATATATATATATATATATGGAGAGAGAGAGAGAGCGATGGAGTGTCAGATGCATTGATGGATGAAACCAAAGGAATTGCGGGGAAAAATCGAAAGACAAGTAATTCATACAGTGAAACATGAGAAGTGGGATTACTTAAAACCGAAAGAAATCGAATTCACCCACACAACGACCGATGATGGATGAAACCAAGGGAATTGCGGGAGAAAATCGAAAGATAGATAATCTATACGGTGAAATATGAGAAGTGAGATTACTTAAAACCGAAACAAATTGAGTCCACCCACACAACGACCGACGGACTCTTGGTACTGAAACTCTCATTAAATGAGAAAGTGATTGACAAACCCCTTAACGTACGTTAACCAAAGGCTCCTGTCAGCTCGACCCTAACTAGTGTTGTGGAAAAACATAGAAATAATTTTCTGTGTTTTGCCTCACCAACCACCTTAAGATTGGACTTGGTGATACTTAATGTCAAAAAGGTTACTCGAAGAAGAAACTTTTTCACCTGCACAAGTTTTCAAATCCATGATTTATGCTTGCAAACTCATATCAACCTATTGTCATCGACGTAATTGGAGGACAGTGCCATCGACTCATTTTCATCTTCACATGCAATGGAAAAACAGACAACTCGATGTACAAGACTTCGTAGATATAAATAGTATCAACCCGCTATCACAAAGACTAGTTCTGTTTTATTCCAACATGGTTGACAGTTGAGGTATTGGCACTCTTCTAGAAGAGTTATCCATGGAAACATGAAGAGGTCCCCAGCCAAAAGGTCGACACTTCTTATTCGATAACACTTTTAATCTTCACTTTGCACCGAAAAGTGCTGCGTACAGTAAGGTTCACTTTGTTGACCCCCCCCCCCCCCCTTCTCTCACCCTCTCTCTTAAATATTTCTAACAAAGAATTATCTCAACTATGTGTTTTTTAGACTTGTGATTAAAATAACTCCTAGATATACCGAACTCAAAATGTACGTATTTATGTTTTATTTTTTTGTTCAATCACTAATTCAAATCGTATGTGGCCAAAATTTCTTCAGATGTAAGGTGTATTTAATTGGGTTTTGGGAGTTGCAATCTCGGCGTCCCCTTGTACTATAATCTCATTTTTTCGGACCAAACCTGTCCTAACTTTCGTCAGTTGTTCTTCTACTATTTGTACGACGGAAGAGATTGGAGATAAATTGGTCGTAGTCATTTGTTTACTCTCATTGTTTTCCTAACAATTGCATTTGAACCAAAACACTATAATTATATATGCATACCCAATCAAACTTTTCTATTTCCAAAGGTGGAGGAATGGGGTTGCAAGTGATTGGTCCTGCATTAAACCAACAGCTACTCAAGATCATAATTGAGGAATGCTTAGTGTGCACTTAATTAGAATTATTATGCTTTCAACTTAATAAATATAATATCCATTTTTTTCCATTAATAAAGCTCCTTATTTTTCAAAAGAAAAAGAAAAAATTATCAAGGGTTTATACTTTATATTGGCTTTAAGAAAAAAGATTACAAGTTTTTTCTACATTAGTGAGATGTCCTTGAAGATTTTTTTCATAGTTTTATTTATTTAACTTGATAATAAAATAACCCTTTTTTTAAAATTCTTTCCTTGACAAAAAATTGGCTAGTGAACAAGTTTCTTAGTTGCTCTGGTGGATCAAACCAGAACCTTAATTTTTTTTTGCTATTTATTATTAATTTCGTGAAATTTTCTCAAGATCGTCACCACCAAAGAAGAAACAAGAATCATTATTAACGACTACTTAACCTCTTACACATTCTCCTTCTCACTACCGAGAATGAAAAACATTGTTATGATAAATAGTCATTGACGGGTGCAATGGTAATAGTGTTGGGTACAATCGCAAGTTATTTATAGAAACAACTATTTTTTTTACAAATAATAGTAAACGGTAGCTCTATATCGACTCTCAACTGTCGGGGATGAAGCTATATTATAATTCTTAAGTAATCTGGATGAATAACTCTCATATAATTATTGCAATGACGAGATTCTCAGGCATTAGATTCACAAAAACTGACATATGCACAACTGTACATAACTTTGACAAACTTAATTGTAGTACTTATGAAAGAAAATGTTAGATCAGTAAGGATGATAAGAGTTAAATTTCTTCCTTCAATGAAAAATAAATCAATAAATCCGAAAATTTACAAGAATAACAGAACAAACCAAGCACAAGCCCAATCTCAAGGCCCGGCTGGAGCGAGACTAAGATGCAAGTCCAGACCAAATGCATCATCAAAACTAGGCCCACCATCCCCTCTCGAGAACCTACTTAAGGTGGCCTCATCATCACGATGGGCCTTCGCCTGTGAAGGCCCAGCAGTCGTCAGGGTAGATTCTCCTACACTGCCGGGATAGTGTAAATTCCCTAAACCTCTACCCACCATAGTTGATGTTGATGGTGAAAACACACATCCATGTGAAACTTGGAAGGGCGGGGCGGCGCGTGGAAGGTAAACCCAAGACTGAGACGGTGTAGCCGCCGTAGGGATCATCATCGGGCCAGCTTGGGAGAGGAGGTGCTGCGGTGGAGCGAAGGCGGAGACTATGGGGTTCCTCATGTAGGAAACGGCGGCGTTTCGGCTGGCTTGCATTTGGGCACGTTTGAGTTGTTGTCTTTCTTTCTTGTGAGCGTTTTGGTGGCCACCCAGTGCTTGCGAGTTGGCGAATTCTCGGCAACAGTATTGACACTCGTATTTCCGGCCGTCGGTTGCCGGAAATCCGCCGGATTCCGGTGACCCTAATGGTGTTTTGGTTGAGTCTACCTCTTCGTCCTCTGATACTTGGAAGCCAAAGAGCTTTAGACGTCCATTACTTGTTGTGTTATTGATAGGTTTACTCTGATATTCGAGTTCTTCCATGTAGGTCGTATATGTGTCTGCTGAGAGAGAGAGAGAGAGAGAGAAACAGAAAGAAAGACAGTAACACAGAGTTGAACCAAAGGGGTGTGTGTTAAGAGAGTTTTTGCATGTGTGGGGTATTTATACTGGTTTAAAGTTTTGTTGGAGAGAGAGAGAGAGAGAAGGTGGGGGGGGGGTGTTTAGGAGGATGGTTGCGGTCGTTCCAAGGAGAAGAAATGAAGTGTAAAATTGGGAACACGACCCAAGAACACTAGGGGACCCAATGGATTGCACTTGTTTTTTGAGCATCTATCTTTCAATTAATTTATTGTCAAAAAAAAAAAATCTTTCAATTAATTTGCTCTGGAACACATGAAATTACAAAAAAACCCTCATGATGTATATATATATATATAGACACACACACATGTATATATAAAACCAAAGATGATAATTACATATAGATTTATGTGGGGGGAATTAATGTCATTTTTTTGCTGTTTTTGTTGTGTTTGATGGTAGTACTTTAGGTTGAAGTATGTGATGCATGTGATTTTTTCAAAGGGTGGTGGTTGAACTATCAAATGATTGAGCTTGTACACTGTTTTGGGTAAACACTATCTGTTTTCCTGCCCTACCTTGTCTAACATATATAATTAATGAAGAAAACACCTAAACACATTAATGCTCATTTAGACTTAGCAAAGAGTAGACAGGATCAAGAGACCTATAAGCAACTTATATGGTGTCCCAATCCAAAGGAAAAAAAAACTTATATCCTACATTATTCCACTCACGGAAAAAAAAAAAAAAAGATTAATGTTATTTAAATCTAATAATTTATTGATATAATGTGTTGACTTAATTTATCACAGTTGTTGAATTTACAATAAACTCCATCAAATATTAGAACTTCCTCTTGACAAAGTTCCTCGCTGAGCTAACCATAGGACCCAAATCATTTGGCCAAGAAAACGCTCGATTTGCCACCCGAAAGTTTACCTTTATCGGAGAACTGGGGTTAAAGATAGAAAGAGGTACTTATTTTATGAAACTTCAACCTTATTTTTTTGATCGGAATACGAATTCGGTTAATTTTTTGGGCTAATCCAACGATGATAATGATTTAGGCCATCAATTTATTGAATAGTTAACATGAATAAATGAAGCGGGTACTAATATGTAGAAGTATGTTTTCATCAATGCATGATCGGAGATCTACTATTGACAACAAATTGGAAGAAATGTATATTGAAATTTGATCTAAAACCGAAAAACCCATATGGTCACTCCTAATTAATAAGGTGTAATTGGTTTGGGGTACTATGGAGAGTTTTAACATTCTTCTGGAAAATGCACTAAGAAAAGGATATAGTGGAAGTGGAACGAACACCAATGAGCTACCGTGAAGCCCATGTCTCTGTTCACTGACTCGACTGTGATACCAAGAGCTACTAGAAAATGCTTCCCACCTTCTTACTCTTACATGGTTACATGCACTGATTCACAACTCTCTCGCTCTCTATCTCTCTCTCTCTCTCTCTCTATATATATATATATATGCACACATACATATGTAAATAACTAATATATTACTTTTTTTGTAATATTTTCTCTCCCTCGGGTAATATTATATGTACCTTAATGTATTAATATAATGAATTACTATTATTCAATTGACGGTATATTGCAATATTAATTAAGATTCATTACTATTTTAATGATCATTATGATACATTATGTGTGTAAATTAAATCCATATAATATTTTTCTTCTCCCTGTATATCAAGCGCCGCACAAAGCCACACCACTGGGTGCCCCTCTCTAATTCTTGAACTGATCTCTCTCTCTCTCTCTCAAAAGTCAAAAAAACATCCCATGCATGCACGTCAATCCAAAATAATCACCTCTCCTGAGGGAGGGCCCCTTCTCCCCCATCATGACCATCATCTATTTCTAAGCATAAAATCTATATATATATGTTTCAACCTGAAAATATATCTTCGTTTTACCACTTTGCAAAATGGCCCTTTCATGATTGAAGTCAACAATAGTCGAAACTTGGAAATCTCTTTCTCTCTCCTCCCTCTCTCTCTACCTGTATATATGTGTATATATGGATAGAGACTTTCTTTGAAAGGTATGAAAGTTAAGGTGTTACAACTCACATAAAGACCCCACCATTACGTGTTGATGATGAATTATGTTTAGGATGTTTGCGTGATTGACGTTGAATCTATAATTCTATATATTATATGCTTTTAATTCCGTGGGAGAGATCTCTCCGAATCTTACTAACTACATGAGAGAGAGAGAGAGATACAGAAAAAAGGGTGATCTATAAAACCATAATGATTATATACAAATGAATGTGTATGCACAAATGGGACAATCAAAAGCTCTTTCAAAGTCTTCAACTTAACTCCAAACATGGCCCACCTAGTCCCCTCTTTGCTCTTTCTTAATTATCTGTGTGGTATTCATAGTTTCTCTCACTTAGTCAAATTTTCCCATACGAGAAAGCTTAATTTCCCATGATTTTTTTTTATCATCTTTGGGGTGGAAGTTTATACTCTTTTCGACCGTTGGATTCTTTGATAATTAATCATAATCACAAAGAAACAAAAAGTGAATGAATAGCACTATTAGAAACTAGGTCTCACACATTGGTTTTCATCAGGTGTGTATAAACACGAACAATTCCGTTGGAATTAAATTTATTGACTTAATTCACTATAATCTTTGAATTTATTATGACCCTAATCAAACATTAAAACTTAATGTTAATTCAATAATTTTAATAAAGTCATATCATTAGATCAACAAATTAAATCATATTTTTAAATCTAAATAGCATTACACGTATAAACACATTACCATAATTTGGGTTATTCAGAAGTCATCCTTATATATCATGATCATTTTTTCAGTACCATGATCTTATTAAATTTTATCTATAGCTAGTAAAGTTTTCTTTACAATTGCTTTAAGAAGTGAGAGATTGGATGGTTCTCGGTCCCCATTCATGTCAGCTCCCAACCGATCGTATTTAAATTGGATTACAATTGATTCAAATATGAATCTAATTTAAAAGTTTCAATTTGAATCTGATCTCAATATTCGATGAATTTTATTTTCATTGTTCATATTTAAATATAATAAAAAAGAATCCGATTCAGATTCAATTTGGGATAACCAATCAAAAAAATTAAATTATATCCGATTAATTCGAGTCGAATTCAAATTTAAATCCAATACATTCATGCATTATTAGTGTGGACCATCCTAGTGGTCTTTGATTACATAACATGGCTTCTAGGGGACCTGAAATTATGGTTATAGATTTAGGACTTTGATTAGAATCTCCAAGATTTGGAAAATGTTACACTAACCTAACCACCTTTTTGCTTTAATATGGGGATCCAATGATTTTTCTCATTGGTTTTTTTTCTCTCCCATAGGAAGGTTAGAAACTAGGGTTGGGCCACTTTCACCCACCATGGGGCTCTAGAAGTGGTTCTTATTCATAAAGGAAATGTAGTAAAGTCATGACCTTTTCAAATTAAAGTGAATAGTCAGGTAAGACTATGATATCAAATTAAAGAGAGCATAGTGAAAATAACTCTCTGGGATTGTAACATCACCAAATTGAGTTATAACTTCACCCTCATTTTATAATAACTTCTGATATAATAACAAAAAATAATTCTTCAGGATAATAGGCATACCCATCATATTCATGATGGTTTGGAAGCTCACATAATGTTCTTGAGTCTCACAAGTAAGGGCTAAGTAAATTGACGAACACCCACTTATGCAGTAGTCTTCCTTGAATTCATAGAATGCGATATGAATTCGTGAAACACGATCTACCATTTAAAAAGAATTGAGAAAAAAAGTGTGTATCCAGACTCTAAAACTTATCTCTACAGCATAGATTCTCTAGGGAAACAGAACCCGACCCCAACATAAATTCATTATATTTCAAACATGCTTGACTTGAGAGGGCTAACAGTAGTAACAGTGGTTGGGAAGCTATACTGATTGGTTTAAGCACATGGTTACTCCATTGAAGCAAGGAAACACATGTGGATATGCATCTTGCTTCTCTGAGTTCTGTCAAACTATTCAAAACAAACAATGGTAGGGTCCATTGCAAATTGGCCATGTTGGGATGAGCTAGATTTGTGGCACTGGCCCCACATTAACAATCTCTCTCTCTCTATAGTATAGAAGTTAAGTAGGGTGTTAGCATTGTCCAATCAACTTTCCAAACTCTTGTTTATTCATCATTAATAATGGGTTTATTTTCTTGTTGTTAGTGGTTTCCACCATCTAATAGAAAACACAATGAAAGGACCTTAATAATGCTATCTTTGTTGTTGATTGAAGTGATGCCCGTAATTATCATTTAAGATCCCCCAAATCGTGAGTGTGGCCCACCAAGTTGTGCTTATCAAGGAAAATCGACCAATGAGTAGTATTATATTATTTTTAACCTAAGATTATTTCAGACATGATCCTATGATAATAGAGCTCCATTTACTTTCTAATCATCTTTGTTCCCTTTTGTAACCATTACTTTGGAAGGATCCAAAAAGGATAAAAAGATATCCCCCCACTGTTCAAGGCATTTTTAAGTAATCCAAACAATGTGGGTATGACTAAATAGGTCCCTATATGTATTCCAAGTGACACTACCTACTTCTTATTAAATACAAAGGTGGAGGTTGGGTGGAGTTAGCTTTAAGTCATGTGAAGTGACTCTCTCTCTCGCTCGCCCTCTAAAATACAATTAAGTATGTTATTAATTATTGGTAATAATCCAACATGAAGCCTAGGCCTAGATTCTAGGTACATAATGTAGAGACTTTTGAATGGATGGTAATGAATTCCATCAGACTATAGAGTATAAAATAAAAAGAGATTGGAGAGTGAGACTTAGTCAATCAATGAGATAAAATAAATGTGCTTTGGGTTGCCATTAAAGTAGACACTTAGACGGCTACATAAACACCACA